TGCTTGGACACAGAGAAGATGATGCACAGGCCTTGTAGACTCGTTCCACTTCTGATCCAGATACATTGGCAGCTGAGGAAGAATGTAGATTTTAAAAAAGCAGGAAAAACAATTAATTAGTAATCATATTCAGTGATAGTAATAATAGGGATTAAGAGTTTACCTTTAATAGAAGCTGTTATACACATAGACTCTRAGGGACATGGCACCGTTGTTTCATTTTTACACTCCATGTCTACGCAGGTGGAACATTGCAGGCGTCCATCTTTAATCATGGCAAAGACAAGTAAATTTGGGTTGATTTGTGTTGGCAAATAAAATACATTAAAATATAAAATGTTAGGATTTCTGTGTAAAATGTAAAACAGAAATATATAGTTTAGTAAATTTTTTAATAGTCAAGTATGTTTTCCTTTACGCCATTTGACATTCTGCTATTACCTGGTGGTGGAGTYGGAATAACTATTGCCCGATTACACCTTGGAGTGGAACAACCAGTAATGTCACCAGTGATGGCACCAGTATCATTCATGAATAGCAGATCACGCACGCTTTCTCCAGATGTAATTAAATTTGGAGTGGCACAACCCTGTACCAGATGTGTTGAGGATTGATTTTTCACTGTTGAAATGATAGAAAAATAAAATAATTTACAAATGTAAATAATGTTTAACGCTTGCTTTGTTAATCAAATTAAACAAAATCAAAAACTCAAGGTGTAACTATTAATGATGATTCTTTATCATGTCTAAAGTTTAGGTAAAGGCTTTTTTACTCATTTGAATCCTATTTAAAAGCTAAATGTATCACTTTAATGTGACACTATTGCTCTAATATGTCAAAAAATTAAGCCAAAGATTATTTATTGAGTTAGTGCTCAATAAAAAAATAGTCAATGATTGAGTGTTGTTTTTGGATACTTCAGCAACAACTTTGTTTGGAAGAGATAAATATGATTTTATGTTTGTAATTATTTTCATTAGTATATAATTGTAATTTGGAAATTGATGTTGACAGTAGATCAATAAAGGGTCCAATCTAAAAACTTACCAGTCGCACTGAAACAGTTGGTCTCATTTCCTGAACATTGTATTGTAGAGGCACAGTTGATCGTGTGGGGGTCACAAACAAAACAAACCAGTTCATTAGTGGGCTGAATGGTGGGAGCTGTACAAGAAAAAAGACAAACAAAATAAAGTTTAACATCCATGTAAAAGAAAACAGGATCAAATTTGTGTTTTCTGTCTGTGATGAATCTTACAAGGTAGAGTTTGTGTGTTGCAGTTGTCAGTGTTGCAGCAGAAAGCAGAAGCAGTTGAACTTGAGAAACCCAAGTCTGCTGAAAAAGTCTGATTGCCTGTGCTTGGACACAGAGAAGATGATGCACAGGCCTTGTAGACTCGTTTCACTTCTGTTCCAGATAGGTTGGCTGCAGAGGAAGAATGTAGGTTTGAAATTTACAAAGATTAAACAAAAGATTTCGTCAAAAATATATTTAGTATTTTGCAGAATAGTAAAGATGTGTTTAGAAGAATACCTAGAATAGAGGCTGTTATACACATGGATCTTGAGTCACATGAAATTTTTGATGTGTTTTTACACTCCTGATCCACACAGGTGGAACATTGCAGGACTCCATCTGCAATTAGAATAAAGACAGGTAAATCATCAAAAGTTTTTTTATTTGTAAATGGTACGGTTATGTTCAATTTATAAAAACATATAAATATTAAGATTGAAATGTGGGCATGAAAATTGTCTTTAATACACTGATAATGTTAAAGTAGGTTTTATTTTATGTAAAAAATCTTACTGCTCTTACCTGATGTTGATTTTGCGATTGTTGTTGGGGTTGTGGGGGCTGTTGAAGTCGTGGTGGTTGTTGAGGTTGTGGGGGTTGTGGTGGTTGTGGGGGTTGT